TCAAAACACTGGATGTGAACTCATTTCACTTTGTTGACAAACGGCCGGCAGACGATAACCTGCATCTTACTTTGAGTCTGGACTCCAATAAACCACCGGAGAAGAGACCCGGAGCCTCAGAAGGATTGAAAACAGTGACGAGAAGATCAGGTATGATTTCAATTGTATCAAGAGAATTATAGTATTTGTTCATCTTCAGTTTTATGATTTTTCTCTGTAATTAACCGAAGCTCAGTGATGGAGGTCTGGGCTCTGTCTCTGCTTTAAGATCAATAAGACTGTGTCCCACCTGTTAAACAAAACACCACCAACCTTATTACTATTACTAGATACTGATACACCTCAGAGCTTTTCAGCTTGTTCATCACTTCACCATCAGAAGAACCGAGTCAATGAAGTAGCTAAATATGCTCGTATAAGTAGCTAAATATGCTAGTATAAGTAGCTAAATACGCTCGTATAAGTAGCTAAATATGCTCGTATAAGAAGCTAAATATGCTAGTATAAGTAGCTAAATATGCTAGTATAAGTAGCTAAATACGCTCGTATAAGAAGCCAAATATGCTCGTATAAGAAGCTAAATATGCTAGTATAAGTAGCTAAATATGCTATCATAGGTAGCTAAATACGCTCGTATAAGAAGCTAAATATGCTAGTATAAGTAGCTAAATATGCTAGCATAAGTAGCTAAATATGCTAGTATAAGTAGCTAAATATGCTAGAATAAGTAGCTATATGCTAGTATAAGTAGCTAAATAAGCCTGTATAAGTAGCTAAATATGCTAGTATAAGTAGCTAAATATGCTTGTATAAGAAGCTAAATATGCTCGTATAAGTAGCTAAATATGCTCGTATAAGAAGCTAAATATGCTAGTATAAGTAGCTAAATATGCTAGCATAAGTAGCTAAATACGCTCGTATAAGAAGCTAAATATGCTAGTATAAGTAGCTAAATATGCTTGTATAAGAAGCTAAATATGCTCGTATAAGTAGCTAAATATGCTCGTATAAGAAGCTAAATATGCTAGTATAAGAAGCTAAATATGCTAGCATAAGTAGCTAAATACGCTTGTATAAGAAGCTAAATATGCTAGTATAAGTAGCTAAATATGCTAGCATAAGTAGCTAAATATGCTAGTATAAGTAGCTAAATATGCTAGTATAAGTAGCTAAATATAGCACGGTGGCGCAACTGGTAGAGCTGCTGCCTCTCAGTGAGAAGGTCCCTGGTTCAAACCCCGGTCCAGGGGCCTTTCTGGGTGGAGTTTGCATGTTCTCTCCGTGCATGCGTGGGTTTTCTCCGGGTACTCCGGTTTCCTCCCACAGTCCAAAAACATGCATGTTAGGCTGATTGGTAACTCTAAATTGTCCCTAGGTGTGAATGAGAGTGAATGGTTGTTTGTCTCTATGTGGCCCTGTGATGAACTTGCGACCCGTCCAGGGTGTACCCCGCCCCTCGCACAGTGATTGCTGGACATGGGCACCAGCGACCCCCGTGACCCAAAATGGAACAAACGGGTAAAGAAAATGGATGGATGGATGAAGTAGCTAAATATGCTAGAATAAGTAGCTATATGCTAGTATAAGTAGCTAAATAAGCCTGTATAAGTAGCTAAATATGCTAGTATAAGTAGCTAAATATGCTAGCATAAGTAGCTATATGCTAGTATAAGTAGCTAAATATGCTAGTATAAGTAGCTAAATATGCTAGTATAAGTAGCTAAATACGCTCGTA